TGGGTGGAGGGAAGTGGAGAAGGGTCTGGCGAGGGGGTTGCCGGGAGGAGGGTGTTGGTGGTGAGGGGGGAAGGGGTGCGAGGTGGTGTGTGTGTGGGTGTGTGGGTGTGTGCAGAGTCGGGCCGGCGGTGCGGCGGCAGCGCACGTGATGAGGATGCAGATCCAGGCGACCGACACGACGAAGTTCCACATGAACCAGTACTTGCACTTGTCGCGCATCGACTCCGGCATCGACAGCTTGAAGGCGGAGGTGAGCGGCCACAAGAAGGCCTTTTGGAGCTACCTTGCCGATGCACTTGTACGCGGAGGCGCGGCCGAAGCGGCGGAGGACTTGTCCGCGCCCTCGGCGTTCGCGTCGTACGCCGTGGGGGTGAAGCCGACACCGTCCTCCGAGGCGGGCTCGGGCTTGGGCTCGCCGGCCTGCGCGACACAAGAGGGGGCGGGGCGGGGGGGTGAGGGGGCGAGCGGGGGACAGCACGGAGCTGGAGGGGGCGACGCTCGTGGGGGTAGGCGCGCGGCGGACGAGGGGGAGGAGGGGGGTGGGGGGGTGGACGGGAGTGCTGAGGGCAGCGGCGAGAGGGGGGCGGCACCTCGGCGTCGCCCTTCTCCTTGGCCGACTTCTTGGCCTCCTTCTCCTCCGCCTCCTTGACGTCGGCGATGTAGTCGGCCCGTCAGAAACTTGAGGAAGCCGCCGCGGCTGTACAAGACCCTTGCAATCTTGCGGTTCTTGGTCATCCAAAAGACGTAGGCCGCGTAGCTGACGAGGAGGAGGGGCTCGTACCAAAGAATCCTCTGGTCGAGGGCGATGAAGAAGAGGAAGAAGAAGACGAGGACGACGGAGAGGATGTAGAAGGAGAAGTCGCACAGCACAGGGATTGGTGATAGGGAAGTGGGCTGTGTTTGCGTTTCTTTGTGGGGACGTTGGTAGGGTGGAGGCATCTAGATGGAGATGAAGAGCGAAGGCGCACCTCAGACTCGGCACCTGATCGGACGGAGGCAGTCCGGTGAGCGGGGTGAGAAATCGAGGATGCGGCGGCGACCGGCGGACGGCGCTCAGCGCGCATGGGAAAATCCAGCGCGGAGCGGGCGGCGCAGGCCCGGAGCCCTGGCGCGGGCGTGGCGCGGCAGGGCGCGGCGCGGGCGCGGTGGCGCGCGGCGGCGGCGCGAGACGGCGCGCCGCCGGCAAGGGTGTAGGATCGGGCCATCGGGGCGGCGGCGCGCACGCAGCGGCGTGGCGGGGGCGGGGGGGCGGGGGCGGGGGACGCGGGCGGGCGGCGCTGCTCCGCGCCCTCGACCCACACCTGCGCGCAGAGGCAGGAGCAGCAGGGTCAAGGTCAGCGCGGGCGTTGGGCGGAGAGCTCCGGCTGACGTGCGCTGTCTCGCGAGGCAAAAGAGCGGCGCGCGGCCAGGGCGAGTCCGTGTCTGGAGTGGTGCGCAGAGAGGCTCGCCGCGCCGCGGGCGGGCACAAGCTGGAGGACAACCTGTGGCGTGGTAGACAGCGTTTTCAGGAAAAGACCGGGGTACATGGGGTACTATTTTCAATCAAATAGAGCGCCTTCAGCACTACTGTGTGTGTGTGTGTGTGTGTGTGTGTGTGTGTGTGTGTGTGTACACACACTTCAGCACTACTCTATCG